GTTGCGTATCACACGCTGCATTTTGAAGTTGTTAGACGAAGCACTGGAGAAGGCCATCATGCGATCTTTCAGTTCTTGGAAAGTTCCCTCACGAACGAGCTGAACTCTCATTGGTCCGATGCTGCCCTTCATCCTGAAGGATCGGTAGATATCAGAGTCCTCCTGTAGGCAGTGGTCTAACTGTTGGATTTAAAAAGCAATCTGGAATATAACGAGCAGTTAAAGAGAAGAGTCTCTTCAAAGTTCTTGAATGAACATTATAGATAATCACCTTGTATCTTTGTTCCTCTGAGAGGTTCCTCACACCCTTTAGCTCAACAAACACAAGATAATGCGGCTGAGCTATTCCAGATGCACTGCCTACAGTAAACAAACAACAAATGAAATGCAACATTTAATGCATTTCAGTATTACATAAAACGTCAACCTTAAAGTTCAATTCACGTTCCAGATTCAATACAACTTGCATTATACTGATGTTTACACAGACAGACACAGACATAATTCTATAACACTATTCACGCATATAATAACAGCTGAAATATTCGCAAACTGCTATATAAAAAGTTTTTTAACATTACAAGGACCTTGTAAGGAAATTTTATGTTTAATTAACATAAAAGACAAACATTACCTAAAATGCCACTCTCAACGCAGCTGTAGTCTATTAGTCTGGCTCCTGGCCACTGTGTCACTGCCTTCTTAAGAGCCCCCAAAAACAGTGATTCAGACACTTTCTCACCACGCACGCTCAACATCTGACCGCGCCTGAACACACACATTAAACAAACCATTACACAGAAATTATGATTGATTAGATAAGTGCTTCTCAATCTCAGACAAGGTACCATCTTCAGCTTTTCCAGAATTAGGCAAAAATAAATCTGCATGTATGAATTTGTTAGAAAGTGTAATGACTGTAGAAGCATACATAATAATAATATTATATACTGCTGCAAGGGCAAACAGAACACTGCTCCATTGATTAGTCAGAATATACCACCAGTACTACATGAATATTATTTCAAGTTCATGCATTCCCTGGTAATCAAATCCACAATCTTAGCCTTGCTAGTCCCACACTCTACTGTTGAGCTACAAGAATGAAGCTACTGCAGAAAACTTCACATCCCTATTTACATTTCGCACTGCCAAATATCTTGTAGACATAAAAATATGAAAAATGTAACAAGAAATTGCAATTACAACATTTAAAAAATTTAACTTAAAAGTGTTGTGCTGTGTACCACCTGAGGACACTCAGTTGTATTAAACATTTGATTATATAATGTATAATAAAAATGTGTACCTATACTGAAACTCCACTTTTGGACACTGGTTATGAAACCCAACTACTTTCACAACATCTCCAATGCGATACCTGAAAAACACAGATGAGAGACTTTAGAGAATGTCCACTACATTGTTTCACCAATTTGCTAAATATTTACTTCCTCTAAATCATTGTTTTTTTTTTTTCCATTTTTAAAATATCCAATGCACTAATTCATGGCATCATCTCTGTCCTTAAAGAAAATGCTCAAAAACAGCATTACAGCACTAACTGTTCACAGGTAAAGTAACTTAATGACTTATTCAATGCATTGTTCATGTTAATAACATTTCATAATTCTGTCAGCCATGCTCAAATGCTTGAAACATTGCATTTAAGCCCAAACAGTAAGTTTAACAGTAAAGCTTAAAGTATACTTTCCTGTTTTATGTGTATGCTAAGGCAGTGATTCCCCACCCTGGTCCTGGAGGCACCCCAACACTGCATATTTTGCATGTCTATTTTCCCTGGCACACCAGTTTCAGGTCTTGGAGCAGGGGTGTCCAAACTCGGTCCTGGAGGACCACTGTTCTGCAGAGTTTAGCTCCAACTTGCCTCAACACACCTGCCTGCCAGTTTCTAGTATGCCTACTAAAAGTTGGTGCGGGGGGGTTTAATGGGGGTGGGAGCTGACCTGTGCAGGACAGTGGCCCTCCAGGATCGAGTTTGGACACCCCTGTCTTGGAGTCTCTACTAATGAGCTGATGACTTGAATCAGGTGTGTTTGATTAAGGAGACATGCAAAACGTGCAGTGTTGGGGTGCCTCCAGGACCAGGGTTGGGAACCAATGTGCTAAGGTATGTGTTCAGTGTGCATGGTGTAACTATCATCATCCGCATAGTATGCATATTTAACATACATGTGCAATCCTATTTTTAAAAACATTTTTCTCTCACATGCGCCTTTAACAGTGTCACATTCAAAAAAGAATGTCCAACCAGATATTTTAACTTCACTTCTGCAAAAATTGTAACATCAAATAAACATACTGTGACATTTACTTTGTTTTTGCCATTATTAGTTAAGTTTTCTCTATTTAAGACTATTAAGATCTTCACAGACATATGGTAAAATAGCAGCAAAAGTAGGCAATTTAAAGAAAACCCAGTTCTGTCATGACAACTCTCTGAAAGGTTAGCATGTTAATATACTGTACATGGCAATGTTAATGTATTTGATCTTAGTGGTGAGTGTGTAAGACATGCTGCTGCTGCACATATAACATATGTGAAATTACCCTGTAGCAGATCTACACAGGTGGTGCTGCGGAAGGTGGAGGGTTTCTGAAGCATGCAGCAAACTGCTACAGCAAACACTGGCCAGGTATTTTAATGTTGAGCAGCAAGCTCATTGCCTGCTGATGCAACAAAAACCATTAGCTGTGCCATGTGAATAATGATGTTGTAACAAACGTTCGTAGATCGGGAAGGAGGCGGCGGGAACATTTAAACATAAAACTTTAATAAATAAATAAACATAACAAAAGTAAAAGCGGCAGGCCCTCACGGACAACTGCCACATAAAACAACAACATAAAATCCAGGCCTGGTCCCCTCTGATCCTTCACTGTTGCTACTCCTCCTTTTATCCTTCTGGAGCTTCGAGACCGGTGAGTGGTGCAGGTGTCGCTCATTATCATTAACTCCACCGGCTTCGCTCCGTTCCCACGGCTCTTGGCTCCGCCCCACTCGTCACAGATGTGATTAAATCAGGCTGAGTTAGGATGTTTCGGCCTGTGCCATCAGGAGTTTCATGACAGAACTTTGTTTTAAACATGTAGAAGCAGGATCATGTACCTGACCTGAATAATCCTGAAGCGTTGGTGACCAGCAACTCATAGTTATGTCCTTCTTGAAGCTGCTCCATCAGGAGAGTTTTGGGTCGTTCTGAATCCAGATCCTCCTCTGGTATAAACTCACAGAACATG